TGTGTGAAAACGGTCAGGAGAGTGCCAGCTGTCAGGATTAACGGGTGCCATGTGGGTCGGAGGGAGGAGAGGGCCTTCAGATGTCCTGAAGCACAGGAGAGTGAAGGAGCACACTGAAGAGGCACACCAGCGCTCTACAGCTTTGTGCTCATCACTACTGGAGAATGATTGGCATATCCAGAACTGGGTTGGAATATTTTTCAGATATTAATTTAAAGAGCTAGGATTGGGGGGTTTTTTCAATCTTTTGCTGTTTAGAAGTTGTTCTTCTATTTGCAGGGTATCCCTTGTTTTGAGTATTAAATTCAGTAGTACTGATGTGTAATGTTTTTAATCTTTTCTTTCCAGGTTCCTCCAGAATTTGACTTCTCCCCTCATAAGTATTTTCCAGTTGTGAAGCTTGTTTGAAAGATGAGATTACTGTTAGGATACCTGAAGCATAATCTGTGTATCAGATACCAGCTGTAGGATGGAATATGTAGTGATGTACCCAGACTGAGAGGGATCTCCAGGATAAAAGTACTGTTACATGGAATATCTATAGTCTGCCGCCTTTATGTGATCTGAATCACAACTACTGTTTTGAAGTGGTTTGTATAAAGTTTTATGGGTGAAGCTGATTTTAATCAACTGTATTGTTGAAGAATGTTGTTATCTTAATTGATATTATCAGTTTTAATCACAGACCATTTTTTTATGAATGAACTGACAGAAAATGGTGGTTTAGGGATTGAATAACATTTGAGACTGAACAAAAATAATGCAGTAGAGCCACATGCCTGATAGACAAAGCTGAGCTACTGAAATTCTGCTTTGAACAAAGCCACTTGCAGAGATTGTGAGATTCCATATTTTTGCCTAAATTGCATCAAATTTGCTCTCTTTGCAAGTAGAAAGACTGGGTTCTTTTTTTGCCAAGTCCTGCAAGCTAAAACAATCTTTATAGGAACAATCTTTATAGGAATTTAAAAGCAGATGAAGCTAGTCATTTAGCTCCTACTGCACTGAATTAAGTGATTATTTTTTGTTTGTTTAACTGAAGCCAATTGTTTAGGAGGTGTTTTCCCTCAAGTGTAAGAAAAGTCCTTGAAGACAGCTAGAAATGGACTGAGCTATTTCTACTTGCAGTTTGTTCCTTTGTCTTTATTCTTCATGGTACTGGAGAATCTGTGTAGGTAACACTGTAATAGTCACTAGCAACACAGGAACACAGCATGCGAGGACTGTATTTTAACTACTCTGCAACTTTATTTCAATGCTGTTGTTACTTTGCCATTGCAAAGGAGGGATTACTAATGTGTTCTATTGCTCAGTCAGCTCTTGCATGACCTTCGTTCTCCAGTTTTGACTGCAATACTGCTGCTGGATCCTACTGCCTTCTGTAATGGTTGATGTAGGTAGAAATCCCAAACAGGAGGAGCCCTAGACCTATCCTTTCCCTCCTGCAACAGTTCTTCCTCCTGTGCTTCCACCAGATATGAAATAATAGAGGTAAGCTGTTGTGTTGAACACAACGGGGGGGGGGGGGGGGTTTAAAAAGCTGACTTGCCCTTTGCTAAACCATATGGCCAAGTCTGACCTGGGCCATAAAAGCAAATTCTCCAGGTTTGACTGTGTTGGACAGGACAATTTGATTTTGGTGCAAAATGGCTTCCTCCATAGTGATGAGCTTGTAGCTCCTGCTTGACCATGCAAGACATTTGTATATCATCTCCTAACATATAGTTGTACTGTGGAGTAATAGCACTTCAACTCCATCACCTAAGCAGCAGCACTGCTGAGCGAGATGAAGAAACTCCGACGTGGAACACCCGCTTGTCTGCCAGCAATTTGCAGCTTCTTGAAATAAGCAGGAGTACTGCCCTGAAAACAGGCTTTTCTTGATTTCTCTGCTAAGGAGGCTGCATACCATTTTACAAGTTTGCTTATTGTCATGATTAATATACTTGAATGCTTCTGTATGGTTGCCAAAAGAATAAAGATCCTGGAAAATGTAATTGTAAAGATGGCAAACTGGTTCTAGTGCAGGAAACTGAGAATTCATCTGGCTTTTACTGCCTTGAAAACAATCACAATCTTTGCTGTTTTAAAAATCTTTACCTACATGAGAGCAGCTCAAGGACAGCCTTTGGTGTTTCTCCAAGGGAAGCAGCAAGTAAAAGAGAAACCAAGTTCCACATCATTTATAGAACTAAGAAAACAGGAATGATCGTCTTTGCCATTTTCAGTAACGTTATTCTGTACAGTCCATCCACTCCTAAGGTGAATACACAGTAGAGAAGATTCTTTTTATTTTAAAATGCTTATCTAAAATGGATCAGGTGTAGTTTTTAAAAAAACATCAAGAAGAAGAAGCGTTAATTTAACCCCAAACTGATTACAGCAAAGAAGCTTTCCCTGCCTCATGCAGCTAAAAATTTTAGTGATCGACAACACTACATAAAACACAGTTGCAAATGAATCTCTTGTTTTGTTCAACTAAAAGTCCTTTAATTTGAAAGTTTTTACATAGTAGACATAAAGCCCCCCCTGTCTACTAGAAATCTACCACCCTGGTTACATTCTGGTAGCACTTAAAGCTATTGAGAGTAAGATTTTATTCCTCTCTGCTTTTGAACGTTGCTTTTACATAAGCTTTCAGACCCCCCCACTGTCAGAGGTGTAACGTGTGATTTGTACAAAGGTAGTCTTGTTTATGTGGAGGACAACATTGAGCTGGCTGGTGAGAAGCCCAGTCAGGTTTGAGTTCTGTACAGAAATACAGCCAAACCAATTCATTTTAAAGGAATTCTCTGGCAATATATTAATTACCTTAAGGATTTTGTTTGTTTGGGATTTTACCAGTATGAAGTTAAAGCCATTCATTCAACTTGAATAGAGTTTCACTGGACATTTTATACTGTTGGAATATATGTTCTTTAACAATCCCTATTAAATTCCTGATTAACTTCATCTCAGCTATATAATTGTTTACAGATTAAGTCCAAAGGAAATGCCCCTTTTACTCAGAATACAGGTAAACACTTTGATGTTAAAACATGCCATTATTTGCAAAAAAACCCCAAACTTAATAGCCCAGTTTCCCTATACTTGTCAGTTAGAAGTGATGCTTATACCTCCTTTTCTCTCCTGCTTACAAGCATTTGATTTCCCTGCTATATAGACTGTAGTAGCCCAGACTACTTAACCCTGACTTAAATGGTGAAAAACCCAGAGTAACCAAGAACTCAGGAATGGAAGTTAGTGCTTTTCTTTTAGAAGAATTCAAGTTATACAGGGCAAGTCTATCAAGCAAACTGTTTACATATTTAGGCATAATAATAGGCACCATTGGATTTGAGCTCTGCCTTTCACTCAATGACAACTAATACTTTTCATACACAAAAGAACCAACCTTCCACTTGCATATTTAGACATCTTACAGTACAGGAGTCAAACCACTACACGTGAGGAATGACACACCACGAAACTATTTACAAAATTGTAGAATGGTTTGGTTGGAAGGGACCTTAAAGATCATCTTGTTCCAGCCCCTCTGCCGTGGGCAGAGACACCTTCTGCTACACAGGGTTGCTCAAAGCTTCATCCAACCTGGCCCTGCATTAAGAGAAAGCTGAGACAAATCTGTATTTTTCTTAAATGGAATTGCTGGTTGGGAAGTTAGTCATGTCCGTCTGCTCCCATGCTGTCTCAACAAAAGTTGTTTCATACTCCAAAGACTGCTCCAAACAAAGGTGTCACTCTTGAGACACAATCTTCAAAATGGCTGGCTACAACAATGCAGGCTAGACTGCAGTTAAGGGTGCTTTAGTGGTAGTAGAGGGTAGTTCTAGGTTATCACAAGTAAACTAGTAAATAGTTTACATTCAACAAGTTACAGAAAAGACGAAGACTACAGAACATTAAGAACATGATACATTGTGCATAACATAGGACTTCACAACAACTACAGCTTCACCTGTGGGAGACAGATGTCTCGTAAATGCGTAGTCTGGTTTAAGCTCTTCCAAAGTCCAGCAAAGAAGATTAGTCACTTTGAACAGCTGAGATGATTGCTGTTCTACACGGCAAGCATCTGCCTTTCTACTTCTTAGCAGAAGACAGTGGCTAGGTGGAGTAAAGGGTAGTCATAGCACACCATTTCAAATGGCTTCTGTCACGAAAAGTTCAGGAGTTTTTATTTTTTTTTTACACTCTGAACTTGTGCAAGCTAGTGGTAACTGAACCATACTGTAGTACTGATCTTGTGAACAGGAGTCCAACAAAGCTTTCAGAAAAAAATCTTCCTGGCTAATCTCAATGAGAAAACACTATTGTCAGAAGCTTTTTTTTTTTTTTTTTTTTAACCTAAAAAAGCTGAGAACACACCCAGGACAGTGTTTCAGCCTGGTTACAGATACTGTAAGCTAGCAATTTAATTTAGGATGCCCAGGAAAATGTATCATACTGCATAATATCTGGGGATTACAGTCATGCTTTCTGAGTCCATCTACATTACAGTAAAAAGGTGCCAGAAGAGGCACAAGGGCAGACTGCAGCATTGGCCATTTTTCATCCTTCCTATGTTCTGTCAAGTTAAGTTAGCTCCTCTTAAAACAAGGCTGGGGGGTTCTCTACTGCATTGCTCAGGGGAGAGATCCATCCTTGAGAGAGGACTTTCTCATCTACCACCAATCCATGCACAGTTATTGTAATATGACTGTACAAGTTAGCCAGCTTCAAAGTTACTACACTTACTGCTAGCTGGTTTCAGTTTTGTAATTGGTAGGAAGGAAGGAGTCATTGCAGAGGTCAAGCTGCTCTAAAGCAAGCTTCCAGAGATTTAAGATTATTTTTTTCACCACTGAAACCGTACTAAAATGTCACAAGAAAATACTACTTCATTTGGGCCCTTACTAAAGCCTTGAGAAGATAATCAAAACATTCTCAGATCACTTTGCTGTCATCACTGCTGCATTTATATGAAGAGGTGACCAAGTTGCATCTTGAACCTCCTTTGTTCACAACCTCTGTTGTTCTTCACCTTGCTCAGGTAAGTGGTTCTTCATATCTTCAGGGTTTTGAACTAATTAGGAAAAACGAAGAGTACAGAAATCTCTTTAAGAAGCAGAAGTGATTGTTCTTCATCTACAAAACAATCTAGAACACAGCAGGAGAGATTTTGAAAGGACTGTTAAGTACTGTATAGTATAGCGAAGCTACAGATACTGTTTCTCCCCACCACATGTTAAACAGTAGCTTCAGTGATGCTACGCAGAAAATAGGTCACACTGTCAACATGAGGGAAAGCTCAAAGAACAGAAATTAGCTAGCTATATCTGCTGCAGGATACCATTCAAAATATCATCTTAAAATTTTCAGCATGTGGTATGTAGTTTAAAACTTTTTTTTTCTTTTTTACCATTTTCAATCCCTGCAAGTGCTGCTTGCTTGTCCGTTTCTGATTCAGCTTCATTCTCATCTAAATTGTAATCGACATCCTTGTCCTGGTTCAGTGCTTCATGTTCCTGTTTGTCTGAAAAATATTAAAATTAATTAGTTTTATGCTGTACCATAAGGTCATCTGCACAAGAAACAATTACTGTAACAATCTTCCACAGAATTTACTTTGCTGCTGAATTAATTGCTGTTTAGAGTAGGCTTTCATATTATTTTCCCTTTTCAACTGTTAAATTTCACAGAAGCTTTTGCTGTCTTGTCTAAAGAACTAGATAGAAAGAATCTTTTGGGATTTGGAAAGTGTAATAGAATTCAGCCAGCACTCAGATGGACAGAAAAAGCTTTACATAATTTCAGAATACATTAAAGGACAGCCTAAGGAAGAGTAAAACCTGAACCCAATGCTGAAAACTTGACTGTGATGTTACTTTTAAATGTGTTACCATAGCTGCTAAAACAATATCTTGGCTTCCCCCTCTTCTTGTTTTTAGTTTGTCCAAGCAGAAAGCTGCGAATGTAGCCTAAAGAGTATTTTATATGCTGACTTAACACAAAAGTACTTTTCTGTAAGAGATTTTGTTCACCCAGTCATTAATTCATCCCAACAACTTAAGATTTCTTTATATAGAGAGCTCAGAAGTAAGTGGAAACACTATTTCTGATTGCCAAACTACTACCCTTATTTTTCAGTTAACCAGCCAGAAAAAAAATATAACAGCATAGGGGTATAAGCATACCCCAGTTAAGAGAGATCAGAGTCTCTGTTTCTGAATGTTCTCAAGCCAAGCCCTCTAATTAGTAACTGGCTTGGAAACAGGCTTGAAAATTTTTAGCCTTATGCTGTCCATGTTCAGACCACCAAACCATCAAACAGATTTTTACACTTACAGACCTAAAGGTCTCCAACTTTTAAAATCAGTTTTTATTGAAAGCAGAGGATGCTCAGGGAATGCAGAAGAAATCTTTTTCTACCTTAGGCTCGTTTGGCTACAAGGAACCTTTGCAGTAAGGTATGGTGTTCTTGCTTGAACAATCAAGCCTGAAGAACATCCTGCTAGTCTTCCTAGCTCATAGAAACTCTGACCTTTCACAGGCTACATGGAAGAGTTTTTTCTTGCACTAATTGTTGGATGGTATTTTTACCTGATCTTTCTGCTATTTCTTTCTGTTAAAATGGAAGCAGTTTAAGTAACTTGTATTCACATCTCTTTGGGGGACAGCCTGCTCTGGCCAGCATCTTTTTGGAGCAGTCAAAAAATATCACTTTAGCAATGCAGATGAGATTATTCATCCCTGCCAAGTTATCAACAGTGTTAACATTGTTACTTATGATTCTATGAATGTGTTTACTAGAAAAGCATAAACAGCATTTTTTTGTGGGCATCAATTCATGCTCTGACTGCCATAAGGCAGTCTTGAGCTCTGTATTGAGTTCCTCAAGACAGGCACAGGGATGTCTAGATTCTGGTCAGGTTTGCTGCTTGGTGCTGCGGATACATGTGGTTCAGGTCTCATCCTTTTCATATGCATCATGTTCTTGTAATGTCTCAATACCAAAAAGTTTTGGGGCTAGTTTCCCCAAATGCCTTGTACAGCCAATGGAGAGAGAGACAGGAAGGCTGCTGTGGTGACGCAGAAGAACCCAGCCTGGCAGCTCCATGTTGCACACAAACAGAAGCCTCCATCTTTACCCAGGGACTGTAGAAGGCTGCTGGGGACTGACTAACCTTTTGCGTCTCACACTGACCTTTATGAAACCTTATACCAAGTTCAGCCAGCTGCCACTACTGTTGCAGAAATTGTGGCCTATTCCATGCTTTCATTTCTTTACTGTTCTTAACAATTTGCAACATGCTACCAACCAGCCTTTCCGAGGGGCGAGTCATCCTCCTTAGCATCGTAATTTAGGAGCTGCTCCCGTTCAATTTCCTCACTGGCAGCCTGCTCTGCTGCCAGCTGTAACGCATCTTGCCCAGCTACATGTTTTTCATCTTCAGATGGATTCAGCTCCTTCTCTGACTTGGGCAGCATCTCCTTATGACCTGCAGCAGCCTTGAGTGAATCCTGTGGGTTTTTCATTTGACTAGAAAGCTGCTCCTCCTCTGCCTTGGGCTCCTGTTTTCTGATGTCAGCTAGGCCATTTATTCTTTCTGTAAACAATAAAAATGATTCTGAGTAAAAAACCTAATGCCTTGCAGTGGGGACACAAGTTAAAAAACCTTTAATAAATACTGCTTTATCTTTCTCATTCAATTTGTGTTTTTCTTCTGAAAGAGTATCTTTCAACCGCATCGGTTCCAAAGATAAAAGACAACCCATGTTTCTCCTACTGGGAACAACTAAAGGATGAGACATTGTTTACTGTCAACAGATTCAGACTTCTACCTACTTAAAGTTTTGGTATGTGCAGTTAATAAATTGGGCAGGTGAAACACAGCAGTTTAAATAAGAATTGCAGTGTACTATATAAGCAACGGGTTTGTGTGTTACATTTTGTAACCAACAATAAAACTGATTTGGTGTTCAAAAGTAGCTCAGGACAAAGCAGTCACATGGGCAGACCTGCAAGTAAATCAAAGCTGTTCTTATTTTTAAATATGAAGAGGAAGTGCAGGAGGGCTATTACTTTTAGCAGACATTACCATATCTTTTTTCCTGTGTATCTGTATTTTTCACTAAAAAATCACGATAAAATTTGCTTGAATACAGTATATATAGATGTTGTCTTCAATTGATAGCTCTCTGAAAGCTGCATGCTCCCAAGATTGTAATTTAAGATAGCATATAAGAATAATTAAATAGGAAATTGAATTTCTGTCACACGGTACTATGCAAGACTGACACATGAGGACACAGGCATTCATAGCTGCAGAGCGTTTAGTGCCAAAAGCAACCATTAGGTTAACTAATGCGATCTCCTGCCTATCATTTCCCTTACTTTCATTTTGCTCAGTGACAACATAAGGAAGCATGGATGTGTGTTTGTTTAAAGCGTAACTTTTGGCTATTCCATAGGAAGGGGTAGCAGGCTAGATGTGTCAAACATTAAGAAAGCAAATTTTAAACATGCTTGAAAATCATTGCTTCCAAAAGCAGTTTTTTCTCCATATTAAATGAGGAATATGACTAGGATGGTTAATACTTGTATTTTCCTTTACATGTAACATGTTAATTACAACAAAACTGAACCAGTAGAAATGCTAGTAATAAAAGTGCTTGAATAGATATTGTACATCTCCACAGCTGGAAAACTGATTAGAGTTCAGTCCACTGGTGTCACTCACTTTTTCCATCTTAATCTTGTGTACAAAAATGCTTTTTAAATGTTCAGTTAAATTACAAATGTTCTTACCAGTTGCTCATAAGACAGTGATTTCCATCTCACCTTTAGCCTGCAGCGGATCTGTCTTTTTTACTGTAGGTACTGCCTTAGGTACATCTTCATTGAGTTTCTGCTGTTCCAAGTCGGCCTGCTTGGTCTCGGTTTGCTTCAAGGCTGGCAGTTGAATACTGACCTATAAAGTGAATGTACACAGATAAGCATTGGTCTATATAACTACTCCTGGATTTGGAAAGGGAAGTGGAAGTTAGACAAGAATTCAGTAGAGGGGGAAAAAAAATTGTAACGTTCCGAGAAATATTTGGACTGAAATTTTTAATGGTGATGGAAGTACCATACAATCTTGAATGAGCAGTGACGTTTCTACATAACAGCACAACACACTGGAAGAATGTAACACACCTTGATTAATCTAACTGCAGCTAACAATGCGGTTACAAGAAACACTACCTGTTATTCTCCGAGGGTCACATTACTGTAACACTACATATTTCTCCACTGTTGCCCTGCCACCACATCAGGGTCAGCAGAGCACACAAACAGATGGTGTTAACTACCGTTAGTAATCCACAGGGACAGGTAAACTGAGTTTGGACGTAATAAAACTTCAGTTAAGCAAGCCCATATAGAACTGGCCTACAACTATGTTCAGCCCATGCTACACCAGCTTCAGTGCAGCAAACTGGACTGTTATGAAACTTTTCTATGGGTTTTCTACGAAACTTTTTTGTTAGGTTTTGGTTTTGTTTTTTTTAAAAAAAATCAAAATACACAGAGAAAGAACAATCATACCAACATTTAGAGGCATAAATCTTTTTATACCTGGTACTATACAAATGAATAGGAAACCTTATGGTATAGAAAGTCATACAGTCAACAGAAAGTTTTCTGTTACGATTGTTGATAAGAATAGCTACCCATTCTTCTAAGCAGGTCAATAAAACACGAGGTTGTCAAATGTTCACACAGTCATTTGGAAAAATGTCTGCGGAAAGAAGTGGTTAAATAACCAAGAAGCCAAAGTTGTAGAGGATTTGTAGGCTGTTTTGAAAATGTTTAAGCTCAGTCAAAGCCAGGCAGAAATAAAGACCTTGTTGGGTCAACACCATGAAGTCCAACATCAACAACAAATAATCTAGCATTAACTTTTATGAAAGCTTGAGAAGCAAGTATTACCACAGAATATTTGGTTATTACAGTAAGGGATATTCAGAAGAACTCCATCTTCCTTCAGTCATTAAAACAACAATGCTGTATTTAAAAATGTTTCTGTTTTATAAGCAATTCAGTCTTGAAGTCACTCTCTACAGCAGAAATCATCAGAAACTGAACATAAGACGATTTTTCACTTTATGCTGGGCATGAGTTCTTCTGTAAGAATACTGAGCCTGCAATTACTAGCAAGAAATTACCTCTTAATTAAACAAGCAAAAACCCTTAACTTACAGTATCTTAAATTTCTAGCTCAGTAATTTTTAATGATAGCGTCAAATAAATTAAAAGGGTATATGCTGACATTTTTTTAAATTGAAGTAGTTGGATAAAAATATAATAATTGGAACATGTATATTTCTCAGCTGAGAAGTATATATCATTCCTTAAAACACAGAGCTGTAAGAAAAGCTGTATATTTATTAACCAACCAATGCTCCATTTTCTTCCTCTGTTTTATTTTAACTCTGACCTTTCTATTACATAAGCATGTACATCTTACAAACAGGAGTTACTCCAGCTAAAAAAAGTGGCTAAAAACACATAAATTTCATCATGGTTACCTTGCACTAATGATAAATAACTCAGCTTTTGTACAAGCAAAAAGTTGCAATCCATAGGCAAACAACTGAGAAGGTTACAGCTTGACAGAAGAAATGCTGTCACAGATACTAGGGAACACAAGCAGACAGAATTTATTTAGGCTGTAGCTATATTAGTTATTATCTCATCTGGACCATCCCACCTCTAGATTAAGAGGAGAACAGATAACCTGCCCTGTCTAACCTACTGGCTGCTTGGAGTAAAGACTGCCTCCAGCTATGGGACTTGTTGCAGGAGACTGAAATTGTCCTGCAGAGGGGCTTCAGCCAAACTCCTCAGGTTCCTTCTGGGATGATTTCCTTTCCAAACTGGAAATGGTAAAGAAAAACCTCTAAACTGCAAAACAGGGGGTTAAAAAAAGGATCTGGGGCAAGTAATTGTAATGACAATCTGCCGCAAAGCCACACTAGAAATTAAGTTGATTACCTCTGTTGTATGGTCTTCCCCATGTCAACTTTCCAAACAGTATTTTACATCTTGACATTAAACAAGATACATTTGTTTGTCAAACAAATATATCATCTCCAAATGATGGGCTTTTTATTTACTTATTACTATATATTTCCTATTACTATTATTATTTTTTCTTTACTTATTTGACACTGTTGATAAAAATTATTGACAAACAAGAGCTTTCACTTTTTTTTTTTTTTTTAAAAGGGAAAACTAGCTAGTGTTTCCTGTCTCTGATGTTTCATTCATCTTGCAGTTCTCAGGCAACGCAGGTTCCTAGGATAAAAGGTCACAAACTTCAGCAGTTGTATCTCCCACCATTTTACATAAAGGACTGGACACAGACTGGAACCATCACCTGAACACCTAAGGGTCTCTGGACAGATGTTTCAGCCTTTTTCCCCCACCCACTTCCAGCTATTTGCAAAACCCAACTTCAATCCTTGTTGTTTTACCTTTTCCACTTCTGAAGTCATCAAATTGTTTCTTCTAGTAGCCTTTTCCTAGGCAAAGAGAAAAGAGTATATACTACCAAATCCCTCCTGCCTTTGCAATGACAGTTGGCCACCCAGGTGTGGGGGAAAGGCCCCATTGCAATCATATGTGAAAAAATGTAACTTCTGTTAACTGGTGCTCATAGTCCTGAAGAAAGGGCTGCTTTGGTACATAGAAATAAATTAGTTGCCTTCTCACCTAGGAGTTCCATTGCATGTTTCCAGGGCCATCTGTATCAGGCTTAACCAATCAAGTCCTATCCCTGACTAAATCCTGCTTCACTGAAGCATTGTCAGTAATCCACATGCCAAGTCAACAGGATGATCTGAAATGGCCTCTTCTCAGGATTTCCTCCTGCCCTCTGTACCCCAGGAAGAAAGAGTCAGCTGGCACATGGCCACCCTATGCGGCAAGCCTGCCCTGTCCTCGTGAGCCTTTTCACGTTACATGCAGCAACGCCTTTTGCAGTTCTTTGACTCAGAATATCCAAAAGCAAACAGCTAAGAGATTTATCTTCCCCTTATTCCCACAGTAGAAGGCTGACATTAGGATTTCTGTGAAAATTCATAGCTGACAGACCTCAAAGACCCTTGTACTACAATGTCACATTCAAGGCTTACTGCTACTCTGAAGTGATTCACAACTCATCCTCACCTTTAGCACACATCTTCAACACACAAAGCAACCAAGTCCTTTAACAAAGTCAAAAGGAGCTGTGAACCAAAGCTCAGCAGTGTAAATATTTTTTTAATGGGCTCCACACCACTCCCTGCATCACCTCTCAAATTCTGCCCGTCTTAGGGACACAGTGATTTGGAGTGTCCTGCAGGACCTCTGTCTGTTCTGTCCCTGGATTCACTCCATTTCCCACAGACCAGAAACATTCAACAAATGTGAAGGAAAGCAGTGCAAAACTTAATGAGATGGACTAATATTAGTTGGAGATGGCAGAAAGGTGGAAAAAGACTTAAGAATTACAAAGAAAAAGATTTTTAAGAAGTTACCCAAACCATACCTGGCCACTTTTCTTTGAATCTTCTGAGAAGTCTTTGTTTTCTTTGATTTGTGGAGGTAGATCACTGCCCCTTTTTGTAAGCTCATCTACCCTTTCTTCACATTGTTCTTTTAATTCTTTCATCTGGTTGATGCACTGTGACCTGGAGAAGACATGAACAAGTGAGCAGTTGTTAACTTTCATCCACACTCTTCTAAAATGTTCTTTTGTAAAAGGATTTATTCCTTTTCTTCTTTTTTTTCCCATTTATCATTTTCTTAGGTCAATTATCTGTGCTTATGTTTGAGAAGTCAGAAAGAAAAAATGGGGTGTTAACCCAAGCCCTAAGAACAAACTTGTGGTGCAGGCGGTCCAAGTTCTACTGGAAGAAATTAAACTGCTTTTGTTAGACCAGCTCAACAAGCTACATGAATTTTCTTGTCTTCCACTAACCAGTCAATTTGAGTTAAGTCAAAATCAACTTTGATCTTTGAAGTATTTCTAGTATAACAACAGAAATGTGTATTTGGATTTTACCTACGAAGAGGGAACAGCAAAGTACTGCTAGTAAACTGAACACCCTTTCTCAGCATTTCACCAAAGTGCAGTGCTGCAAGTCGTAACAAAACATACGCGACAGAAATGGAGTTCATCAGTAGCCATTGTAAATTCCCAAGGGAGTATTTCCTAAAGATGCAAGTATTGTATCTCTTTCATATACCTTTAATAGTTACACAGTGCCATTAGTGCCTTAACCTTCCTGACACCAGGGGTCTTCTGTTTGCAGTCCTGTACCCTACCTTTCCCTCCCAGCTCTGTAACCCCTAGGTGAGCCCTAGGTTGTTGCGGCAGTGTTTTTCCTGAAGGTGCCAGGGCAGTTTTTTCCCTTTTTGTGGCTGTGCTAAGGAGCCTGTGCAAACCCCAGGAGTGTTGTCAAGCTGGGTTTCTCGGGGAAAGTGACTGCCCTCAGGGCAAGATCACCCTTTCTCCCCCACTCTCTTCATAACCTGTTTCGTAACCTTCTGTTTATATCGGAGGAAGAACAAGACCTAGTGAATAACAAAGCAGATAAGCATTACCCTGTAACACACATGTACGAGGCTTCAAAACCAGTCATCATACGACCCCAAATATGTTTTGATCCCACCATGAACAGGAACAAGCATAGTGGGTTTGAGTGGATCCTGATGAGAAGTGCATCAGGCCAGGGGAAAATGTGAAAAATCATCATCGTTGTCAGCACCCACTGCACAGGAGAGCATCCACACTGTTTCTCTTCCCTGCTGGCCTTGGCGGCAAAGGAGTTTGTGGGGGTTTTTTTAATCCCTTTTTTTCCCTTCCTCTCTCTTTTTTGTTTTTTTCCCCACTCTAAGGTAACTTTGAGTTCAATGTATAGCATCGGCCTCAGACCCTGCAAACACATCTTTCTGCAAGCAAAACCCCTCTCAGCAGCCTTTGTACAACATCACCAACATACTGCAAGTTTTACCTCCCACTCACTAAGACAGAAGGGGGATGAATTTCATCTGAGCCTAGCTCTGGCAGAGTGTTAATACCATCAGTGTAACAGGAGCTGGTTCAGACGGGCATGTTCCAGTTTCTCAAGGTGCAAATAAGCTACTACCTAATCCAGAGGAATTCTCAGGGCACATGCCCTCTACAATGGCAAGTCACTCATTTTTAGTGCACCTTCATCCTTCTCCACCCATGCTTTTTAAAAGCAAAAAATCTGTTCTGTAGTTCACAGTCAGAAAGGAAGAAGACTGGCAGGCAGATATGCTGTGAACTGGCAAACTAATTACCTTTGTGACCTGATGTCCTGCTTTGGCTGAAACAGAACTATTTCTGCTTTCAGCAGATTTTATTTTTTTTCCTTAAGTTTTCTCAGTAACAGCCCTGTCTGAAGCTGACTGCAGGTTTCGGGCAGTGCCTGCTTTCAGAGTTGATGGCGGTTCACATCTGTAGTTGTCGTTGGGGCAGGAGCGGT